TTTTTTTTTAAAAAAAAGTTATCAAGCTCTTAAAAAATCACCCGTTATGTACATACATAAGAGCTGCTGTTTACCGCTGTTATTTTATTATTAATGCTATTTTATATTTCATTGTTTTTGCAGTTTTTGTGGTGAGGGGAGTCGATCGCACTGCTGTACGTACCCGTCCACGAAATACTGATGAATATATCAATCAGTGATGTCAACCAACCAGAGATAATTCCCCGATTTTGGCGCACTTTGCATTTCTCAGGGAAATCGGGGAATTGCTTTAAATTTTGGGGGAATTCAATATACAAATGATTTGTATTAGGACATTCCCGTTGAGAATAAAATTACAACTTGTAATAACAATCTCTAATTACTGTGTTGCGGATTTAAAACATAACGTAATTGCTTCATGCAACCGTGGGGATATTCAATTAATTACAACACTTTTCACTTGACCTTTATACTACATATTTGAACTGTATCATTTCTGGCTTCGTTTTCAGCGCCAAGCTAACGTCTGGCAAAGTTTTGAGCATTCTAATAAAAGTAAGTTATAAATATACATACATATAGAGAATTTTTACCAAAATTAATTTAAAAAAAACTGCAATCAGAAATAGGCTTGGCATAGTGCCTTAAAAAGTAAAAGTTATTTTGGGGATTTTTTTCAGGAGTTTGGGGAACTAGCCGTAATAGAGTTGGCATCCCTATATGAGTGTACTTATATATATATATACATATATACATATGTAGATATGTGAATATTTTTGTACGAGCGTGTTATTAGGAAACAATAACAAAAGTTGAAGGAAAACATTCGAGTCGAAACGTAAACACGCATCGACATTCGCACGAACTGAAGATATGGGTATGTATATGTATTATATATATATATGCATGTATTATGTGAGTATTTACAGTGGCGCTCGCCCAAATAGCATACTTTTATTTTTTACAATATTGCCAATGTTTTACGTGATCAATTTTTTTTACAAAAAATTTCAAAAACATGTCATCAAAATTTTAAATTTTTCCGGATTTTTTCGAAACTTTTTGGGTATGCGGTTGTGTATGCAGTTTTTAGCTTAATAAATTTTGGTATAAACATATGCAGGTTGGTAAATTCTGCAAATTCCCGTCGATTTTTTCGAATTTTCTTTTGTTTTATGTGGAAGAAAATATGCAACACCCTCGACAAAAAAAAAAAAAAAAAATTTCACCAAAAATCAACGGGAATTTCCAGAATTTTCAAACCTGCATATTACCATACTAAAATTTATTAAGCTAACAAACTGCATGCACAATAACAGCCCGATGCAGTGCACTTGATAAATTGAAAATCTATAATCTATAATTCGTCAATTTTTTATTATTTATCAAGAATTGGTATTCTAGCACAGAATTTAAAAGTTCTTTTCTTGATAAATTATCAAGACTGAAAGTGCTATTGACAAATTGAAATTTCATGTGAAATGTATAGATTTTGTATAGTAAAAAATTTGTGTGCCGGTATTTGAACCTGCGACACACGGAATTATAGTCGACATCTCTACCTGCTCGGCTACGAGAGTCAAAAGTTTTTTTGCTTTTAATTTCATATTTTTCATATGTGACAATGAAATCAGTTCCACTCATGTGGAAATCAGTTCCACTCATGTAGAAATCGTAGAGATTTTTGTTTTATAAATATTGATACAGAATGCAAGGGAAGTTTTCAGTTGATAAAAATCTTCATAAAATTTCTTTACAAAAAAATGTATCAAGAAAACACAGAATCGGGCGGTAAATTTCTATAAAAACTGAAAAAAAGTGAAAAGTTTTGATGCATTTTTTTTTGAAATTTGAACTAATTTTTCTGAACTGTACATAAGCTTTTAAACTTGGACATATATGGTTTATTAAACAATTTTGAGGCCGTTTTTATTCGAAAATTATTGCGGAAAAACAACAATAGTTTATAAATGGTAGAAGCTATAGCTGCCATTTCGGAGAGCGACCACATCTCCTCATCAGACTTCTTCGCTGGGATTCGATCCAACGACCCCAGTGGTCTACACACTGTGCTAAGTTCGCCTTATAAACTTTTGTTGCTTTTTCCACATTGTGAATACATATTGTAATTAAATAAACGTGTGCTTTTTAGGTGAGAACCACTGCCCTGCAAAAATCATTGGACCATGTGGTCCATTTGCGCCTTATTGGCGTACTTACAAAATGCTCCTCTGTAATGCAGTATCGGACCAACTCATGTCTCTAAAGAACTCTGTACTTTTTGCCTTTCTTGAGAGCTGGATACTACTAAGCTATTCAGGTCTATTCTTCGCTGGTAGCAAACATTTTGTAACCGATAAACAAAGGTCCTGTAAATTTTTAAACCCTTTTCGCATTCTGTGCACTCTTTTAAGTGGTAAATATTGCTATCATATCATAAGAAAGTACATATGTACATAAATAATTACAGAATGTCCGAATCAAACCTAGATTAGTGTAGCTCGGCTATTTATATTAAAAAAAAAAAATAAGCAAATATATGCACCAATACACCGAATACAGAAAATGCAATACCACGTCCGAATACCGATAGTCCGAAAATTCCAAAAAAAGAGCGAAGAAACTTATTTTCTTCAAAACTTTGGAATGGTTTCCTAATATGAGCTTCTACTATAATTATGCAGTATTAAATTTAATTGAGACAGGGTAACCACCTTATTCGTGGTATTTGGCGGATACGAGGTATTAAAATTGATTGGGCTACAAATCTGCATACTCAAAAAAAAATCTGATTAAAAAGTTTAAAATTTTCATAAACATTTTCGGAATTTTCGTGAGTTTTGCACAAAGTTTAGGAATTATATTTTTATGTTTTTTGTTGTAGAATGAACTATATTTTTATAAGAAATTAGCGGAAAAATATTAGAATGAAAATTGTTGCATGTAATGTGAAAAATTTGCTGTGCCAATACTTTGTTCCGGCAGTGTATGTATGTATGTATATCCACATTTCAAACTTGGTACAAAAATGATACAAATTCAACAAAATAGGAATGCTCATTCAAAATAAAGTATGCTCGAAAATTTCTTTTAAATTATAAACAGAATCAAATCGCTCAGAGAAATTCGTCGGAAGAAAGTTCGCTGCCAATATTACAGCAAACACACTGCAGTATACGAGTTTGCACGAGAGGTCGAAAATATCCCTCTCCACTTTGAAAGTGTCCCAAAATAACTACTATCACTATTTAAGATAAAAAAATAACCTACCAAACAGAACAGGTGGTTTGTTATTTGTAGATGGTGTGCTCCTCTCGGTGGGAAAGGGTTATTTGAATATATTTTTCTGTTGCTGTTGGACACGGACACTTATCGCTGGAAGAGGAAAAATAAGTGTTAGAGCGCGGTTATTCACGAACTTGTACGTAGGATACCGCAGAAGTGCGTAGAAGAAACATATCAAATCTGTAACTATATAATTTTCATTATAATTACCTTTATTTTAATCTTTCTTCCTTTATCTTCGCCATATAAAATGATAAAAATCTTGATACAATTGCTTTACAAATAATTTATCAAGAAAACTCAGAGTTGGGCGGTTAGTTACAAGTCCCAAGACATAAATAAAAGAGTTATCCCAAATACGTTTTCAGTGATGTACCTACATTATTTCGAATCGAGTCATAAATAAAAGAGTTATGAAACAACTCTTCTTGGTTGGTTTTTTAAAACGGGACCAGGACAAAAATAATATTTACTATGCTGAAATCCCCCACTCAATCCACTTGTATCTTTTGTTTGGCGACCGCCGACCTAGCCTAATGTACTTATATACATACATACATACATATTTATGTATGTATAACAGGTCGGTTGCTGTTTTTTAGTTGCTGTGTTTTTCTGCAGCTTATTTTTTTATTTTTTTTTGTTGTTTTCTGGTTTGCAATGTTTTTGTTTTCGAGTTTACAGTCACTGTCGATGCCGATGCCGAAAGAAAAGCAGTTACTCTGTGACAACTGAAATATAAAC